GTCCAATGAACCAATACAATACAAAGCTATTTATATGTGACTTTAGAATGTATTTTATGATGAGGAACAGGAAATTCATCTTCATGGGTTGTTTTTTTCCCTGATTAATGTTTAAATTAATCTGCCCTCCCAAATCTCTGCAGTTTGATGGTGGCACTGAGAATGACTGATATTCTTAGTCACAAATGGCTCTTTTTTTTTTTTGGTACCAGGGATTGAACTCAGGGGGACTTAGCCACTGAACCACATACTGAACCTTTTTTTATTTTATTTTTTTTAGTGCTGGGGAATGAACCCAGGGCCTTGTACATGCGAGGTAAGAACTCTACCAACTGAGCTATATCTCCAGCATCCTCTGAGCAATTTTTTAAAAATATTTATTTTTTAGTTTTTTTTTTTTGGGTGGACACAATATCTTTATTTCATTTTTATGTGGTGCTGAGGATTGAACCCAGTGCCTCATGCATGCCAGGCGAGCGCGCTACCACTTGAGCCACATCCCCAACTCCTGAGCCATTTTTATTTTTTCTATTTATTTTTAATAACATGTTTATTTTATTTATTTATTTTTATGTGGTGCTGAAGATCAAACCCATGGCTTCATGCATGCTAGACTCACACTCTACCACTGAGCCACAACCGCAGCCCTTTTATTTTTTATTTTGAGACAGGGTCTCATTAAGTTGCTCAAGGCCTCATTAAATTGCTGAGACTGATTTTGAACTTACAATCTTCTTGCCTCAGCCTGCTGAGCTCTGGGATTACAGGTGTGCATCACTATGCAAGGCACAAATGGAAAATTTGAAAGCAAACTTTGCAATATGGATTTTGGTATCAAAAAAATCCACTAAAAGCATTAATACCATCATATTCTCTCTCTCTCTCTTTTTTTTTTTTCCTATAATACTTAGGGTGAAACCCAGGGTCCTCTACTACCAAGTAGAGCCACTTCTATTTTTCATTTTGAGACAGGGTCTCCCTAAATTGCCCAAGCTGTCTTTGAACTTGCAATCTTCCTACTTAGCCTTCTGAATTGCTGATATTTACAGGCATGCACTACTGTGCCTATTGTGTCCAGCTAATTCTTTAATCCTTTTTTCTTTAAAATATGGAATGCTTCATAAATTTGCGTGTTGTCCTTGCATGGAGGCATGTGCTGCCAAAGTGAGGACTAATTCTTTCTTTTTTTTAATATATATTTTTTAGTTATCAATAGACCTTTATTTTATTTATCTACTTATATGAGGTGCTGAGAAAAGAACCCAGTGTTTCTTCACACATGCCAGGCAGGCTCTCTACCACATTATGCAATATTATTATCCAATATTATTGGATAATCCCAGCAGGTGGGGAGGCTGAGACAGGAGAATAGAGAGTTCAAAGCCAGCCTCAGCAACAGTGAGGTGCTAAGCAATTCAGTGAGTCCCTGTCTCTAAATAAAATACAAAATAAGGCGGGGATGTGGCTCAGTGGTCAGTGCCCCTGAGTGCAATTCCTGGTACCATAAATAAATAAATAGAAATTATTGGATGATGAGAAAGGAGAAGCTGTCCAAAGAGAGAGAGAGAGAGAGAGAGAGAGAGAGAGAGAGAGAGAGAAATACTCAATGAATAACAATCTAAATTTGTCTTGATTTTCTTTTGTACCAAATAAGCATTGGGTAGGTTAACCAGATAAAAGAGAGTAGAATTGCTTCATAAGTAAGATATCATGGGGAGGTCAGCTCTTAACATGGTGATTTAGAAACTTAAATTTATAGTTGTCAACAAAGAGAGAAAAGAAGAGTAGGTGTGCCAACAGCTACATGACAAATAGAATACTGGCCCAAGGGAATCAGGGCAAAAAACCTTTATTCTGAATAAGTTAAACTTTTGTTATCATTCCTAATCAAGATTTGGAGAATTTCAGCGGTTAGACTAAAGACCAACTCTAGCTCTTTTCTCATGTTTGTGAAGAAATAATCTCATTGGCTTCTAAAGGCTTTTGGATTATAAAAGTATTTGTTCTAATCAGTGTGACCCAAACCACTATAAATCCAAAAGTTGCTGGGTGTGGTGGTGCATTCCTATAATCCCAACAATTTGGGAGGCTGAGATAGGAGGATCCCAATTTTGAAGTCAGCCTAGCAACTCAGCAAAACTCTATCTCAAAATAAGAAATAAACAGAACTGGGGAGGGGCTGGGGTTGTGGCTCAGAGGTAGAGAACTCGCCTAGCATGCGTGAGGCACTGGGTTCGATCCTCAGCACCACATAGAAATAAAATAGATGTTTAAATATTAAAAAAAAAAAAAAGAACCGGGGATGTGTATACTGGTAGAATGCCACTGGATTTAATCCCTAGTACCACCAAAACCAAAACAAAACAAAAAATTAGTCATGCATGGATATTGGCAGAGCTCAAGACTCAGAATATCAGAATTCAAAGGAACTTAAAATCAGGTTGAATACTGAGTATCCCCCCCAAAAAACCCTGCAAGTCTATAAATGTTCTGATTTCATGTATGTGTATATTTAAGCCAAATGTTTTGAATCATTTAGCTGAAAGCAAAATGATTTAAAACAATCAATAGCCTATAAAAATGAAGGTCACTATTGCCCCCTTGTGGGCATGACAGGGTCAACCTTCATTGAGAAGTTATAATTTCATTTAACAGCTGTTATTTTGAAGACACTGAAATATAAAAACTCAGTCTCAACAACTCATAAAATTGGAATCATTATATTCAAATTTTACAGATAAGTAAATGGCCACAGAGAAGAAGTTTTTCGGAGGTCAAGAGAACACAGTACTGATTTCAAAAAAATCTGTCCATATTATGTACATGCTTCTTCTATTTTACCAGATTGCTGCTCAATAGTAGTATCTCATTCAACAATGTTCCTTTGATGTTATACAAATTTAACTGGGAATTCAGTTATTTATCTACAGTTTTTATTTAGTTATTTATAGTTTCCCAGACTGGATTCAAATTTATCATCTTCCTATCTTAGACTCTCTGGATTTACAGGTGTGTGCCACTGCACACCAAGCTTATTTATTTTTTAATGAAAGTCAGAAACAGAAAAAGAAACCAAGAGACAATTGGAAAACTTACTAAAATTAGAACATGAAATCAGGTGTGGTAGTGTATGCCTGTAGTGACTCAGGAGGCTGAGGCAGGAGAATTGTAAATTTGAGGCAAGCCTCAGCAATTTACTGAGGCCCTTAGCTAGACTCTGTCTCAAAATAAAAAAATACAAGGGCTGGGGATGTAACTCATTGGTAAAACAACTCTGAACACCCCTGGGTTCAATCCCCAGTATTCAAAAAAAAAAAAGAACTTAAAGGACATAATTTCCTGCATTGAAAATAAATATTTGGGGTACTCTATTTTTTTGGTACCAGGAATTGAACGCAGGGGTGCTTAACTACTGAGTCACATCCCCAGACCTTTTTATTTTATTTAGAGACAGGGTCTTGCTGAGTTGCTTAGGACCTCCCTAAGATGCTGAGGCTGGCTTTGAACTTGCGATCCTCCTTCCTCAGCCTCCAGAGCCACTGGGATTATACTGGGCCCAGTATTTGCAGCACTTGTGCCCCTCCCAGGCGTGCTGCACTGGGAGTTCTGGGGCTTTTTTCTTTCTTTTAAATTTTTTTAGTCATTGATGGACCTTTATTTTATTCATTTATTTATATGTGGTGCTGAGAATTGAACCCAGTGCCTCAAACATGCTAGGCAAGAGCTCTACCACTGAGCTACAACCCCAGCCCCTCACCTTCCTTCTTAAAAATATTCCTGCTTGCTTGAAAGAAAGAAAGAAAATATTCATAAAATGAGATGTTGAATTTGTTCCTTTTTAAATAGAAGTTTTTGTTTAAAACATGATGGTTTCAAAACATCAACACCAATACTTTTTTGTTTTTTAAAAATATGCTCTCAATGGGCTGGAGTTGTGGCTCAGCGGTAGAGCACTACTTGCCTAGCATGTGCAAGGCCCTGGGTTCGATCCTCAGCACCACATAAAAATAAATAGATAAATAAAGATATTGTGTCCAACCAAAAAATAAATATTAAAAAAAAAATGCTCTCAATGGAGCTGGGGTTGTGGCTCAGTGGTAGAGCACTCGCCTAGCATGTGTGAGGCACTAGGTTTGATCCTCGGCACTACATATAAACAAATGAACAAAATGAAGGTCCCTCAATGTCTAAAACATTATTAAAAAAATATGCTCTCAAGAACAAATTAAGTCTCATACTTTATTTAAACAATCACATGTATCTCTCTTTTTTTTTTGTGTGTGTGTGTGTGTGTGTGTGTGTGTTGCTGGGGATTGAACCCAGGCCCTTGTGCACCCTAGGCAAGCACTCTACCAACTGAGCTAGATCCCCAGCCCACACACATAGCTCTTTTATATCAGCAGTTCAACAGTTATTTATGTTTATTCCACTTTGTTATTACTTTAGGTTAAGAATGTTTATTTCCTTTAACAGTACCATATTGAGGCACCCTTATGTTTTCATTTTGGGGTCAGACATAAAGCTTCAATAGACAAATCTGTGGAATATTTTTCTTTTAACCTAAGTATTCATGTATAATCCCTATGTATGATCTTCCCCTCCTCCAGAAAGAATAAGTGTCTTTGCTTTAAAAGCTTTTATTTGGGCAATATTTTATTTTAAAATATTTTTCCTGGGTTGGGGGTTGTAGCTCAGTGGTAGAGTGCTTGCCTAGCATGTGTGAGGCACTGGGTTAGATACTCAGCACCACATAAAACTGAATAAACAAAATAAAGATATTGTGTCCATCTACAACTAGAATTTTTTTTTTCCTGCTGGGGACTGAACTCTGCGCCTCAAGCATGCTAGGCAAGTGCTCCATCTCTGAGCTACATCCCTATACCTGTTTGGAGAATATTTTAATAAAGTGAATATCAGACAGAGTACTCATTCATCTCTAGGAAAACGAGGTTTTATTAATTTTTAAGTCTAAAATAAGTGCCACGTTATGAGAACGTTACCTGAGGTTGTTTTGGTGTTGGTTGAAGAAACAAGGCTAGCAAGGTTAACAACCTCTCCTGAGGTGAAGATGAATGGAGCAGCCACAGTCACAGGGTTAGGCACAGAGTCTGCTCTCTCGGGATGAGCATTCCCCTGATTCTGCATTGCTTCCTACCAAACAAAGCAAGATTCAAAGTCAGAACACTTATTAGCTTTAGTTATAGGAATAGTACAAACTCCCTCCTCATGCTCTGTCAAGCAGAACTAATTCTGCTTGACAATGTCCCAGGGAGTACAAAGTTTTCATCAAGACTGCTTTTGTTTGTTTTTGTTTTTTCTCAAACCACAGCAACAGAGATGTTAGATTGCTTTCCCAAGCTTGTTTCTACTTGAGAAAAGCAGAGGTATTTTATTTGCAAAAACTCATAGATAATTCCCTTATCCTCTCTGGATCTTTTTTTTTTTTTTTTTACTTAAAAAAAAAAAGGAGGGGAATTGGTCTGAATAGTCTAAAAAATAATTTATGGCACTAATATTCTGTGATCAATTATCTACAAGACAATGTGGTAGCAGGAAATCCCTGTAGAGAACTTACAGAGAAAAAATATTCTCTAGAGTTTTGTCCAACTACTTGTTCCATTCTGCCATTGAATAAATCCCTAAGGGACTATATAACGAGCAAATAAATGAGTGCCAGATTTTAAAGTCGAGTTCCATATGCTGTACTTTTGCTTCCATAGATTTTGGTGAAAAAGAAGCTCGTCATTATATTTTATTTTTTAAACTTCAGAAGTTTTTTACAAACATGATCACCACTAAAAAAGTTCACTTATGAAAAGGCTCTAAACAAGAATTGAAAGTCGAAGAAGAGAACCAGTCTTTGGGGAGTCATTTGTCAGAAAAAAACTGAAAATGCAGTAGAAATGGCTATTTTTCACATATAATGATCTCTTTGAGAAGAACTTCAATTGAAAAAGATTATCTGTTCTCTGAATACTGCTGAATTCCCTCTTCAGTACACCATCATCTATCCTCCACTGTTATTTCTTTAGTTGAAGCCCTCATTGGCTCCCGCCTGGCCTAAGGAAAGTCCCCTTATGGTGATTTAGCATTGTCTTCTCTCTCCAATCTGTGTGCCACATTCCAGTCATCTTTTAAAAACAAGATAATCTTATCAATCCTCTATTTAAAAGCCCCTAGTGGGGGGCTAGAGCTGTGGCTCAGTGGTAGAGTGCTTGCTTGGCATGTGTGAAGTTCTGGGTTCCCTCCTCAGCACCAGATATAAATAAATAAAATAAAAAATCCACTGACAACTAAAAACTATTAAAAAAAAAAAAAAAAAGCACCAGTGGACCCCCAAGTGCCCACATAATTCAAACTCCTTCAAAGGTAACATCCTTATATTCAGAATCCAGTCTAATTCTCAAGCCTTAGCTCTGCCACTCCCAAACTACACTTCCCTTTACCCATTCTCTGGTCACACAGCTACTTTCTTTCTTTTTGGGCACCAGAGATTGAACCCAGGGGCATTAACCACTGAGCAACATCCCCAACCCTTTTTATGTTTTTTATTTTTATTTTTATTTATTTTTTAGTTGTAAATGGATCTTTTATTTTATTTATGTATTTACATGTAGTGCTGAGGATGGAACCCAGGGCCTCACACATGCCAGGCAAATGTTCTACCACTGAGCCACAATTCCAGCCCCCCTTTTTATATTTTATTTTGAGACAAGCTGTTGATAAATTGCTCAGGACCTAACTAAGTTGATAAGGCTAACTTTAACTTACCATCCTCCTGCCTCAGGCTCTCACTTTCTTGAACCTTTTATGTTCTTTCACACCCCTGTCTTTATTTCTGTCTTTATACTGGAGTTTGAGCCCAGGGCCTCACACATGCTAGGCAAGTGCTCTACTGCTGAGATGTATTTCCAGCACTTTTTTTTTGTTTGTTTTGCAGGGAGATGGGGGTGCTTTACCACTGAGTTATACCCTCAGTCCTTTTTATTTCTTACTTTGTGACAGGGTCTTGCTTTGTTGCTGAGAGTCTCACTAAATTGCTGAGGCTATCTCAAAATTGTGCTCTCCTATGTTAGCCTCTGGAATTGCTAGGATTACAGGCATGCACCACTATATCTGGCATTATTTTTTTAAATTTTGAGACAGAGTCTTGTGAAGTTGCTGAGGATCCTGCTAAATTGCTGAGGCTGCCTGAAACTTGCACTCATGCTGCTTCTGCTTTCCAGGTCATCAGGATCACAGGCATGCACACTGCAACTGTCTTCAGCCTTTTTTTAAAAAAAGTTTTTATTTTGAGACAGTGTCTCGCTAAATTCCCCAGACTGGTCTGGAACTTGGCAATCCTGCCTCAGTTTCTGAGTAGCTGGGACTGCAGTACTTCTGCGTCTTTGATTTGTTTTTCTTCTAGCCTAGAATGTAATTTTCTCGCTTCTCTATTTACTTCTTCAAAGCAGTATTTTACATATACTTTAATCCTTCCCTTAAAAATCATTGATACTCCTTACACTATGCTCCCACGATACTTGCTAGATATATTTTTATTTTGTAATATACTTATACTTTATTTCCTGTCTTCATCTTTTTTTTAATATTTATTTTTTTTTAGTTTTAGGTGGACACAATATCTTTATTTTACATTTATGTGGTGCTGAGAATCTAACCCAGTGCCTCGTGCATGCTAGGGAGCGCTCTACCACTGAACCACAACCCCAGCCCGTCTTCATCTTTAACATGTTGTGAACATAAGGACAAGGTCATGTCCTATTAATTTTTGGGGTGTATGTGTGTGCTGACACTTTTTTTTATTAGTTCTAATCAGTTATACATGACAGCAGAAAGCTTTTCGATTTATTGTACACAAATGGAGTGTCCTATTAATTTTTACATCCCCATCTTAGTGTTCCTTTTATATACAAATACTGACTTAAGAAATTAATAGATATAGCTGAGCATGGTGGCTCACATCTGTAATCCCGAGGCTTGGGAGGCTGAAGCAGGAGGATGGCAAATTCAAAGCCAGACCCTGTCTCTAAAATACAAAATAGGGCTGGTAATGTGGCTCAGTGGTTGAATGCCCCTGAGTTCAATCCCCAGTGGAAGGAAGGAAGGGAGGAAGGGAGGAAGGAATAAATTTTTGAATTTGAGTTGAGATGATTTCCTTATCACCCAACATGTGTTAGAGCTATATACTATCACACATCAATTGATAAACATTCAGAAAATAAAAAGTGACTTTTAATATTGTCTCAAGTTAAGTTTAGAAAGGAAATTTTTCTGGAAGGCAAAGGCAGGAGGACTATAAGGACTGTAGGGCAGTTTGGGACTTAGGAAGACCCTGTCTCAAAATACAAAAATAAAAAGGTTTGGGGATATGGTTCAGTGGTAGAGCATCCTTAGGATCAATCCCTAGTACCAAAGGGGGAAAAAAAAAAAGGGAAATTTTCATGGAGAGAAAAATGAAATTTAACAGAATATTTTTGAACAAAGAATGATTAAAAAATCAGGAAAGCCTCAGAACAAAAGGTTCAGGGAATTCTGCTCTGCAACATGGGCAGTAAGTATTTCCACAACATTTTTCTTTAATCACCATGAATAATTCAATAATTTATGGACTGTTTTGTTTAAAGTTTTCTCTTTCTTTAGTTGTTGATGGACCTTTATTTTTTTTATGTGTGGTGCTGAGAATTGAACCCAGTGCCTCACACATACCAGGCAAGTGCTCTACCAGTGCTATAGCCCCAGCCCCATTATTATTATTATTATTTTAAAGATACTAATGACACTGAGTCACAGATCGAAATACATTGGAAGTATTACCTTGATAAGATGGGGAAAATTCAGTTTTATGGTTTATTTTTTGATACCAGGAACTGAACCCAGGTGCTTAACCTTTGAACTACATCCTCAACCCTTTTTATATTTCATTTAGAGACAGGATGTGGCTAAATTGCTTAGGGCCTAGCTAAATTGCTGAGGCTGGCTTTGAACTCACAATCCTACTGCCTCAGGCTCCTAAATAGCTGCGATTACTGGCATGCACCACTGTTCCCAGCAAAAATTCAATTTTAGGGCTGGGATTGTGGCTCGGTGGTAAGAGTGCTCGCTTAGCATGGGCAGGACCTGGGTTCCATTCTCAGCACCACATAAAAATAAAGGCATTGTGTAGTGTCCATCTACAAAAAAAAAAAAAAAAAAATCTCTCTCTCTCTTTAAAAAAAAAAAATTCTGGGCTGGGGATGTGGCTCAAGCGGTAGCACGCTCGCCTGGCATGCGTGCAGCCCAGGTTTGATCCTCAGCACCACATACAAACAAAGATGTTGTGTCCGCCGATAACTAAAAAATAAATATTAAAATTCTCTCTCTCTCTCTTAAAAAAAAATTCAATTTTAGAGCAACTTCCACACACACACAAAAAAATCTTAACTTTAATCAATGTATATTCTGAGAATATACATACCTGAAGGATGACCAAAATCTCAGCATTGTTCTTCTCCAGGGCTATGTCAAAGGCAGATTTATCGAATTTGCTGAAAGCATGGACATCAGCTCCATATTTGATAAGTAACTCTACCACATCTCGATGGTGGTGCTCTGTGGCCCAATGCAAAGCTGTCATCTTCAGCATGTCCTTGGCATTCACATCTGCTCCATTCTGTCACAGAAAAGCAACTTTTTCAACAGAAACTGGTTATAGTAGCACAAGTGCAAGATCCCATCACCAAATAACAAGGATTTCCATAGAGATTACACATACTTAAACTGAGATAACATTTAAGAACTTAAACTGAGATCACATTTAAGAAATATAAAAGAGAAAAATGTTTCTCAAATTCTCCTGAATGCTGACAAGACATTATGCTTTCAATGACTGGGTCTTCTAAGGGACTCACTGGGAAATATTAACAGATGGGAGAGGAAGGGGGAAAGAAGAGATTATTGTTGCACTTATTAACAGAGTGCTGAATGCCCCAAAAAACTGGCATAATATAGAGAATGACTGCAGAAAAGGAATAAAGAAAAATCAATAAAATCTGTTTAGACTTTAAAAAATTAGAAGACTCCTCATACCATGAATCTTGAAAGTGATGTAACTCAATGTTTTAAACCATCTACACTTAATCTTTCCCAGCTCAATTTCTTATCACTATTTAAGAAAACAGGGAGATAGATGTCTTTTTTACAATATAGCTCCACCACTATTCTTGCTTTACCCTGACAAGCAGTTCCACGATGTGCGCATGTCCATCAGCTGCCGCCATGTGCAAAGGGGTCCTGTCCACTTTGGTCCGGGCATCCCTGCTAACGCCTGCTCGAAGGAGCACTTCTGCTGTGGAATAATGACCGTACTGGGCTGCAAGGTGGAGGGGTGACGTTCCAAGCTGTGGGAAAATAATATTTACTGAATATCTACTGTGTGCAGAATCCTATAGCATTGATGGATTCATATGAAGAAGAGTTAAATCCTATGGTTCCTATCTTTGGAGAGAGAATCTAACTGGACAGATAGTGTTGAAGAAATAATTTAGCTTAAAAATTAATATACAAGCTGGGTGGGTAGCACACGTTGTAATCCCAGTGGCTCAGGAGGCGGAGACAGGAGGATCTCAAGTTCAAAGCCAGCCTCAGCAATTACATGAGGCTCTAAGCAACTTAGTGAGACCCTGTCTCAAAATAAGAAATAAAAAGTGGTGAGGCTGTGGTTCAGTGATTAAGCACCCCTGGATTTAATTCCTAGTAACAAAACAAAACAAAAATACAATAATAGTCGTGCATGGTGGTGCACACCTGTAATCCCAGCAGCTCAGGAGGCTGAGGCAGGAGGATTGAGAGTTCAAAGCCAGCCAGCAAAGGCGGGGCACTTGGGGGCACTGTATGTCAGTTGGTAGAGTGCTTGCCTAGCATGTACAAGGCCCTGAATTCAATCCCCAGCACTCCAAAAAAGACGAGGCACTAAACAGTAAGACCCTGTCTCTAAATAAAATATAAAATAGGGCTGCGGGGCTGGGGCTCAGCAGTAGCGCACTTGCCTGACGTGTGAAGCACTGGGTTTGAGTCTCAGCACCATGTATACATAAATAAAAAATGATAAAGATCTATCAACAACTTAAAATAATTTTTTTAAAAATTTACAGGAGCTGGGGCTGTAGATCAGTGGTAGAGCGCCTGCCTTGCACCTGTGAGGCACTGGGTTCCATCCTTAGCACCATGTAAAAATAAAGATATTGGGTCCATCTACAACTAAAAAAAATATTTTAAAAAAATCCCAATAATAATAATATACAACTATGCAGATAAATATATACCAATTAAATAAGTATGCAGTATAATGGTTATAAGTCAGGTAGATTTATCAGGTTAAGACTCTCTGAAGAGGGGCGAGGGGCTGAGGTTGTGGTTCAGTGGCAGAGTGCTTGCCTAGCATGTGTGAGGCACTGGGTTCGATTTTCAGCACCACATAAAAATAAATAAAGGTCCATCAACAACTAATAAAATATTTTTAAAAAACTCCCTAAAGAACATTATTTTAAACAGGAAGAAGGTTTTTAAAAAATGCCAAGCATGGTAGTGAATGGCTATCCGGAGGTTGAAACAGAAAGATTCCAAGTTTGAGGCCACCTTCAGCAAAACCCTGTATCAAAATTTAACAAAAATTAAAAGGGCTGGGAATGTAGCTTAGTGGTAAAGTGTCCCTGGGTTCGATTTCCAGTACTAAAAACAAAAAACAAAAGGATCAAAAAGAGCATTCTGAGCCAGGGATAGAGGAAACGGCTAGACAGGTTCAAAACAATTCTTTTTTTTTTAATATTTATTTTTTAGTTCTCGGCGGACACAACATCTTTGTTTGTATGTGGTGCTGAGGATCGAACCCGGGCCCCACGCATGCCAGGCGAGCGCGCTACCGCTTGAGCCACATCCCCAGCCCAACAAAACAATTCTTAAGAAAAGGGCAGAGACAAGTTACATGTGGAATTTGAGGTACAAATTTGGTTCGAATAGAGGTTTGTTGCTACAGTAAATAAGAATAAAAAGACTGATGAGATGAAAAGACTGATGAGGTAAAAATTTAGCAATACCATTCCAACAGCAATAAGCAAGACTGTGTCATCTCAAAATAAATCTTATATCAGCATCCATTTTGGAACTGAGATTTATTCCTTTGTGTGTGTGTGTGTATTACACCCTTTATTTTAAGCCTGTTCAGTTTATTCTGTGTTTCCCATATATTCCACTTCTGTGCCTGACTGGATTTAATTCATATTGCTCTTTTCACATCTATTTATAGAAATGCTAATCTCAAGGGTTTCCTTTTCTGCCTTTTTATAAGTGCTAAGAACCTGTTGACCTCTGAAGTTATGAATTAATAACCCCACAAGAGGTCACTCACTCATCAAAATTGTTAAAATTATTCAGTGCTTACAAATATGTGAATGGTAAGAAGGCCCACAGGTTCTGGGTTCAATCTCCAGCACCAAAAAAAAAAGGAAGGCCCACATTACAACTTCCCAAACATGCTGATCTCCAGGCCGGTTGTCTAGGCTCATTAAATTATACATTCCTAGCCAGGTGCAGCGGTGAACTCCTGTAATCCCAGTGACTCAGGAGGCTGACGCAGGAGGATCACAGGCTTGATGTTAGCCTCCACAACTTAGTGAGACCCTGTCTCAAAAATAAAAAAGGCTGGGGATATAGCTCAGTGGTAGAGTACCCCTGGGTTCATTCTCCATATTGAAAAAAATTACATCTTCCTCTTTAATGTTTTCCAAGAGTGGCCAACAAAATGTAAAGACTCTTCCTTATGAACCAGAACATGTGAAAGGAAAGGAAAAGAAATACACTCTTGGGGATTGGCTGTGTAGTTCAGTGTTAGAGCACTTGCCAAGCATTCATAAGGCCCTGGTTGCACCAAAAAACAAACAAACAAACAAACAAACAAATAAATAAATAAATAGAAATGTACTCTTATTAGGGGCTGAGGCTGGGGCTCAGTGGTAACGCACTTGCTTAGCATTTGTGAGGCACTGGGTTCGATTATCAGCACCACATATAAAATTAAAAAAAAAAAAAGGCTATTAACAACTGAAATAAAATGTACTCATATACTCATTTTAACTTCTTGGTAATTATGAAGCCTACAACCCAAGAATACTCCAAAGAGAAATAAACGTTTAGGAAATACTTTAAAAAACATTACAGAAAATCACAAACATATAATACCTTATAATTACCTATGTATCCCAGAGGAGACACTTTCAAATTGGAAAACTAAAAAAGAAAGCCACATATTCAGGTAAGATAAAGAAAATAAAACTCTTATAAGGGGAATGAGGAAGCAAGAGAATGAAGAAAAATAAATAATGTCTGTTTGGCCTTTAACAAAAAATATTGGTAAAGGCACACTTTGAATATAAGAGACCTTTCTGCTAAGCTTACCCAGTCTGTGGTAAATGGGGCACCGTTTGCCATTAATGTTCTCACTTCATCATCTTGGCCTTTTCTTGCTGCTTCTAGCAACCTCTTCCCCAAGTCCACCAAAGACATCTTTATGCATAAGAGCAAAACTTTTCAGGTAGCTATAATTCAAACACAAGGAAAGCTGCCTGTAAAATGTTTTTAGAAGACTTTTAATACTTGAATATACATATGATACATCTCATTAACTGGTAGGACTCTTCTATCATCTTAAACAATTCGATATTTGGGAAAGTTTTAGGCACTGAATGATAGTTCCCTCCCTTTTAATCTCCAGAAAAACTTTGGAAATATAAGCAATATATTCTATACATACTTTCTAATATAGGGAATCAAAAAATAACATTTCATACTCTTGAAATGACCAATGGTAGAATATTATTATTTTTAAAAAAATTTTTAGTTGTCAATGGAACTTTATTTATATGTAGTGCTGAGATTCGAACTCAAGGCTTCACACATGCCAGGCAAGCACTCTACCACTGAGCCACAACCCTAGCCCCAGTAGAATATTATTTTAAGGAATACAATATAAAGTAATAAAACATGAACTGATTTCCAGGCAGGGACAAAGAAGTGTGCCTATATGTGAAATTGCTGCTTGATGGAAATTATGGGATTCCTTATTAGCAACTAACAACTCTTTTTAAAGGTTTATAGATCTTTGGATGTCATAATGAAATAGGACACATCAAGATTTCTAAAATAAAATGCACTGTTAATTTTTCTCATCTGTGGTATAAAGATATAATGATGGAAGTTTACAAAAAGCAAACTTTCTGGTCAAACACTGATCTGCTTCTGGGCCTGATGGCATGCCTGTAATCCCAAGGACTTGGGAGGCTGAGGTAGGAGGATAGCAAATTTGAAGCCAGCCTCAGCAATTTGGTGAGACCCTGTCTCAAAAAATATATATTAAAAGGACTGTGGGGGGAGGGGTGTAGCTCAGTGGTAGGGTGTTTGTTCAGCATGTCCAAGGCCCTAGGTTTGATCCCCAGCATCATTAAAAAAAAAGAAAAAAAGAAAAAAAAAAAAAGGCTGGGAATACAGCTCAGGGGTAAAGCACCTCTGGATTCAATTCCCCATACAGCAACAAACAAGGCAAGTTGTTAAACTGTGGTACATGGCCAAATGCGGTGTTACACACCTGTAATCCCAGAAGCTCAGGAGACTAAGACAGGAGGATGGAAAGTTCAAGACCAGTCTAAGCAACTTAAAGAGACCCTAAGCAACTTAGGGAGGTCCTGTCTCAAAATAAAAAACAAAGAACAGCTGGGGATGTAGCTCAGTGTTAAAGTGCCCCTGGGTTAAATTTCCAATACCGTCCCCACACACCAAAAAAAAAAAAAAAAAAAAAAAGTGGTACATGGACCCCTGGTGGTCACTAACAATCTTTTTGGGGTCAAAACTATCTTTATTAGAATACTAAGATATTATTTGCCTCTTTTACCATGTTAACATTTGTTCTGGTAGTACAAATACAATGCTAGATATAGCTCAGATCAAATTGTGAAACTAATTTCCTTGTTATTACTATTATTTGCTATACTAGGGACTGAATCCAGGGCCTTGAGTATGCTAATTATTCTATTCTTCATTGCAATGTACTTTCAAGGGAAAAAAGCCAGTTCTATTTAAAAATATCCTTGATGAAGCAGTAAATATTACTAATTTTATTAAATCTTAACACCTAAATACATGTGTTTATAATTTGTGTGTGATGAAATGGGACATATATATTAAGCACTTCTGCTGCATACTTCAGTATGGTGGATTTCTTGAGAAAAAACTGTACAATTAAGTTGCAAACTGAAATAACAGCTTTTATCATAGAACACCTTGTTTTATTTATTTAGTGGTACTAAGGATCGAACCTAAATGTGCTCTACCACTGAGCTATATCCCCAGCCCTTTTTATTTTATTTTTACTTTTAAGACAGAGTCTTGTTAAGTTGCCCGGGCTGGCCTCAAATTTGCAACCTTCCTGCCTCAATCTCCCAAGTAGCTGGGCTTATAGGCATGCATTACAGCACCCGACTCATGGAACACTCTTTGTATGAAAGAATGATGAACAAACAAATCAAAGACTCAGGAATATGACAGACGTTTATTTAAAAATGAACCAAGTGGGGGCTGAGGCTGTAGCTCAGTGGCAGAGCACTTACCTAGCACGTGTGAGGTCCTGAGTTTGATCCTTGGCACTGCATAAAAATAAATAAATAAAGGCATTCTGTCCATCTATGACTATCAAAAAAAATTTTAAAAAGAAATATGAAAAAGGGCTGGGGATGTGCCTTAGTAATTAAGTGCCCCTGGGTTCAATCCCTGGTACCAAAAAAAAAAAAGGAAAAATGAACCAAGTTGCCTGGGCTATAGCTCAGTGGCAGAGTGCTTGTCTAGCATGTGTGAGGCACAGAGTTTGATGCTTAGCACCCCATAAAAATAAACAAAATAAAGCATGCTGTCCATCTACAACTACAAAAAAATTTTAAAAATGAGTGAGCCAAGTGAGCCTGACACTACAAGGAAAACAACTGACAATAATTATTAGTAAATATCATTAATTTGAGCTTTCAGGCAAAAATTAGAATTTGGAAAGCCTGGGTTCAATCGCCAGCACTAAAAAAAAAAAAAGAAAAAAAGGAAAGCCTAAATCCACCAAGATGAACTCGATAGCTTACTACTTCTTAATGACTTTTCTGATGAAATCAGTGGTAATATTAATGAATGTGCTTTTTGATATTATAAAATAAAATGGACCAACATTTGGATGATATGCATAATTTGGTGAACCAATACTTTCCAATGACCATTGCCTGAAGTTATAAAATCCTGCACAAGTAAAAACATTCAAAGTGAAAGATAGATCAAAAGGTTTTAAGGTAAAAGAACACAAGTTCATTGACATGGTTTCAGAATTCTCATGCGACTTTTCTGTGTGTATGTATAGTACTAGGGATCGAACCCAGGAGCATTCTACCTTTGAGTTACATCCTCAGCCCACTGAGCTACATCCCCAGCCCTTTTTATTTTTCATTTTGACAGAGGTTTTGGTTCAAGTTGCTTAGAGACTCTAAGTTGCCGAGGTTGGCTTTAAACCTGCAATCCTAATGCCTCGGCCTCCCAATCCTCGTGATTACAGGTGTGTGCCACCATGCCCAGCTGCCCTTTTTATTTTTGAGGCATTGTCCAAGTTGCCTAGGCTGGCCTTGAATTTGTGAGCCTCCTGCCTCAGCCTCGAGAGTAGCTGGGTTTACAGGCTGGTAACACCTTGCCTGGCCAATTGCCATTAATTTTTTAAGAAATAGCAGTTGTTGAGCTGGGGAAGTAGCTCAGTGTTAGAGTGCTTGTTTAGAACATGCAAAGCCTGGAGGCTCATTCTCAACACTGAAAAAAAAAGAAAAAACAAAAAATTACCACTTGCTAAGTTTTTGTGTAGATCAAAAAATACTGACAGTTGTCTGAAAATGCTATTAAAATACTGTTTCCTTCTCCAAGTATTTATTGCAACAGATTGAATCAGAAGTAGTTCTGAAAATACAGCTAAGTCAGAAGTTAGAGATTAGTAAAAAATGTAAAACAATGCCATTCTTCTCACTATATGTAATTTTTTTAACTGAGATTTATTTTTCATAAAAATACGTTAGTGGTAGAGTGCTTGCCTAGCATGTGTGAGGTCCTGGGTTCAGTAACTAGCATTGCAAAAATAGAAAACAAAAAAAGTCTAATCGTGTTAACATTTAATGGATTAATTAAGTTAATTAATAAATTTTCTTTTTTTGGTAGTGCTAGGGTTGAATCCAGGGCCTAGTGCATGCAAGGCAAGCACTCTATCAACTGAGTATATCCTCAGCCCAATAAACTTTTTTTTTTTTTTTAAGTTATAGGTGGACACAATGTCTTTATTTTATATTATGTGATGCTGAGGGTGGAACCCAGTGCCTCACACATGCAAGGCTAGCACTCTACCACTGAGCCACAACCCCAGCTCCCAATAAACTTTTTTTAAAAATATATTTTTAGTTGTTGATGGACCTTTATTTTTATTTGCATGTGGTACTGAGAATCAAACTCAGTTCCTCCCACAAGCTAGGTAAGCACTCTACCACTGAGCCACAGCCCAGCCCTAATTAATGAATATTTAAAAAAATAACTTCTAAAATAATAAATATCAATAAATATGACATAATGAAGTTCTCAATGATAATTTTTAAGAGTGTAAATGGATCTTGAAACAGGAAAATATAAAAATCACTGGCTTAGACAAATAATTTAGCTGCTGTGTGATTTTTCAATCTGAACTTTGTATTCAAACTACCAAGGTTGTTGCCTTGCATGCCAAGGCCCTGGGTTTGATCCCCAGCACCACAATTAAAAGAAAGAAAGAAAAAGAAAAGAACCCCCCCCCTCAACAAATTACCAGGGTTGTTTATTCAACATAAATATACCTAGCTGGGAGTGGTGGCACAGTGCCTCCTGCTATCCCAGCTATTCAGGAGCCTGAGGGAGGAGGATGGCAAGTTCGAGGCCAGCCTGGGTAATGTAGCAAGACCTTGTCTCAAAATAAAAATAAAAAGAGCTGGGGATGTAGCTCAGTGGTAGAGCATCCCTGGGTTCAATCCTCAGTACTGAAAACAACAACAGAAAACAACACAAACCAAAATGAATATACCTGAGATCTGCATCCAGGTTCTCTGAATAAGTATGCCCAGGAGAATAAGAACTTCATTTGTTTTTTAAAGTATATGGTGTGTGTGTGGCAGTGAGTGTGTTTGTGTGTGTGTAGAACACAATACCTTTATTTATTTTTATGTGGTGCTAAGGCTCAAACTGAGGCACGTGTGCTAGGCAACTGCTCCACCACTGAGCCACATCACCCATTTTGTTTTATTTAGAGGCAGGGTCTCACCGAGTTGCTGAGGCTGGCCTTGAACTACCGACCCCTACCTCGCTGGGATTGCAGGAGTGCGCTTATTTATTTTGAGACAGGGTCTCTCGGGTTGCTTAAGGCCTGACTTCAGTTGCTGACGCCGACACCGAACTCGGGGCCGCCTCTGCGCCAGGCGCCCTGCTAAGAGGCTCTGGCTTCATTCCCACGGAGCTGGGGTCTTCGGAGCCCGCGCTTTCCTCCTCAGTACTGGGGACCCCCTCGGTCTTCTCAATAGACTCGCGGGGCCCGTGCGGTGCCGGCGCGGTGCCGGCGCTCTCAGAAGCACGCTAGGATCAGGTAATTACTTTGGTTTACAGAAGTACTGGGCGGTCGTCCGCTCCTCGTCGCCAGCGAGGCAGGTGGGAAACAGACGCTTAGGAGCAGGGCTGGGCGGTCGGACGCGACGACGAAACGCGTCCCGGGTGGCCAGAAGCATGACGTCGTCGATTCGCCACAGCACGTCCTTCCCCATGACAGAAAGAGGAGCAGAGGGGAGGAGAGGCCTTTAGGAGAGGAGTGGGATACGGCTCAAGGAATCGTGAGGCCGGAGGAAAGGCTGAAGGGTAGAAAAGGGACAGGAAAGCACCAACTCGAGAGTCCGCGGTCGGGAGATCCTTCTCTCGGGATCGCACACGTCCCCGCCGGGCGGTCAGCCGTCCAAACGAGCGTCCGGGGATGCAGCCGGGCTCTCCTGCTCGCCCCCCGCCTCGCTGCGCCGCGGGAGTCGGGGCCGCCGGGCCGCCCACCCCCGCTCTACAGGGGCCTCCAGCTCTCCACACCCGAGTTCTGGCTTTCTGAGCCGGGAGCCAAAGCTGGCGCCCAGGGGCAGCCCGCGCTCCTGTGCCGCGCGCCCCCTAGCGGTCACCCCTGTGGCCTCGGCTTCCCGTGGTCCAGCTCCGCGGCCCCAGGTCTCGCACCCACCCCCTTCCTCACCTCCTCCAGTCCCCTCCCCTTCCTCCCGCCAGCATCCCCTTCCTCTGCGTCCCCCTCCCCCGCTGTGCCCGCTCCGCCGCGGGGGCGCCTCTCCGAGCGCACCCAGCGGTCTGGGGTTGCACTGCGAAGCGGGGCGGCTTCTCAGGCACCTTCCACTCCAGCCCTACGCCCCCGAGAGCCCGCGCATCTCTTGGCCTCCTCACCTCCTCGTCCGGGACGCTGTCGGCTCCACTTTCAGCGAGCCCGCCAGTTTGGCCCCATTTCCTTCAGAAGCTAAGATTCCCTGTCAGTGACGGTTACTTTTTGGCCTTTCCATGTATGCATATTTTGGGGGCCCTTACCCCCCCTCGTGGAGAAATGGAGGCAACAAAATGGCGGACCCGGAAGTGAAAGCGCAGGAATATAACTTCTGGCGGAGGAATCTCTGGTGAAAAACATTAGGAATATCACGTTTGTATTCGAGCGGGAAGGAAGTGCATCTCTTAGGCTCATCTATTTATTATTATTATTATTATTATTTCATGTCTTCTAGAGGTCTCTTGGTCCGGGAAAGTGTGTGTCGTGGGTGTTCTGGGAGGACTATTTAATGAGGCGGATGATTATGTATTACGTTCGTATAGTTCCGGTAGGGGACGGACTGTGATGGCTATTTGGCGCCAAGAACTCGGCGAATTAATTAAGAGGGATTATTCCTTGGTCCTGGAATTTGCCTTCTATTTGTCGGCGGCTCCTACAGGGGACTAGCGTTAGGGTTGACGGGAAAGGCCTGCTTCCCGGTCCCTGTCTCGGGTAAAGCTGCGTGGGACGCTCCTGACTGCGCGGACCGGCTGGTGGACGCGTTCCGGTCGCGGCGCGCGGGGGAGGTCTCGGGAGGCGCGCTGTCGGAGCCTACCGTCAGGCAGTTTCTGCCAGAGGATGGAGCAGGAGTTTGCAGGTCCTTTCATTTAGCAGTCGATTTTCCATGACTAAAGGACGCGAGAAGCCCGGAAAGCCTTTCAGAAATCAGTAAGTTAAAAGCCAGCCTCTGCAACTTCATGAGACCCTGTCTCGAAATTAAAAAAAAAAAAAAAAAGGGCGGGGTTGTCGTGGCTCAGAGGTAAAGCCTCTCTGGGTTCAATCCTTAGTTCCAAAAAGATCTTAAAAAATAAATTACAATAGAAAGGACACGTCATTTGACCTTCCTGGTCCCATTCTTTATTAGACTCTGGTCTTGGTTGTTGATGGTGGCAATCTTCCCTTCCTTCAAACTTATCTAAGTGATATCGATGTTGTCTTTAAATTATTTATGGCGTTTTAATACTATAAAGATTTTTTTTTTTTTTTGTCTAGCTCAGTGTTGTAGTTTCAACCCAAAAACTATTTGTTAGTTTCATAGTTTTTTAGAATGAGGTAAGTTACAAATACGCAGATAACATATTTGAGTGTCAGTTTCTTTACCTGAAATGTTAGTAGTCCTTGGGGAAGCAGTAGAGTGATTGGTTGTAGGTGAAGTTGATTTCACCCTTTTTACCTAAAGTTCACCATTTAATGAACATGCTATTCAAATCATTTTTCCACAAAGTTGAAGTGATAAAATGTATATATGCTGAATGTGAAATTGAAAGCATGGCTAACTTCTCTGATCTGTACTGCTTGCTTATAAAGAGAGAGAACTGTAATACAATCCTGGGATTGAATGTCTTTATTTTTGGAAGGAGTGGGAACAAGGTGTAGGGGCAGAATGTAATTGCTCATTTCGGGTCTTAATGTAGCTTTAAAACTGTGCCTGAGGCCCACTGATTAGTACGTTGCAAATGAGGAATGGAACCAAACCTTATGCTTTTCTTTAGAAGACCCAATCAGAACCTTACAAATTATCCTAATAGCAAGGTTTCTTCTTAAGATTTGAAATTCTAGCTGAAAAAAATCAGATTATCAATCCAAAATTAGAAGCAAAGTTGTAAGCTGAAGAACATCCTTTTGGACTATGGAGGCTGACAAAAGGATAACAAATTCAAGGCCAGCATGGGCAACTTAGACCCTGTCTCAAAATAAAAAAAATAAAATGGGCTAGGATGTAGTTCAGTGGGTTGGATCCTCAGTACTGCAGAAAACAAAGAATGCTTTTTGGAAGGAAAGAGCTTCAACTATTTCTGAAAAGATTGAGTGCTCTTCCATATTTTCATGATATATTATTTCCTCATTTTATACCTTTACCCCTGATTTCTCTGGGGGAAAAGAATGTATTATAAGAAGGAATAGGATTAAAAAAGAAGATCATCACCTTAACATTTTGGAAATGATTCTGTTGTGACAAATCATCTTAAAAATTAGAAGGTTTTCATTAACCCTGGAAAAAATAAGTTTACTGGTAACTACAAAGATTTGAGCAATCTTTTTCTTTTTTGTGGTGATAGAGATCAAACCCAAGGTCTTACACATGGTTTGAGCAATCTTTGAAGCCTATTAAAAATGGGATCAAAACTATGTTCCATTTTGCACTACTCTACTACTCCCTGATGTCTCCACAAAGCCTGTTTTCTGGGGTTAATAATCCAGGGGGTGGGGGTGGGATTTCTATTATCCAGTACTCCATTGCTTTAACCCTTTACTTTGGTTTGAGGGCTTTTGAGAGAAATGGAGTAGCTAGCTAGCTAGCTAGATAAATAAATAAATAAATAAATAAAACAAACAACTGGCAGATTCATCAGCACCACCAACACAATAGAGGGAAGAGAACAAGATTAATTTGGGAAAGGAATGAGAAGGGGCTTGAAAGAGAAGACAATAAGGGCAAGGTGGTGGGAGACCGAAGTCTTGGCCTTAAAGCAAGTCCAATTCGAAGGAGTGGATGCTGGCAATGGGAGCTCTCCAGAAGTTGAAGGTGCTGTACTCTAAGAGGGTATCGCCTTCTGGATTTTTTTCTTGCTCTGCTCCTGTTGCTTGCCCGATCATTTTGCCAACGCTGCTGTCCTTGATCTTGTAGGTGGGTGTATCTGACAGACCCAGGCCTTCCAGCTCCGACAGATCCAGTTCTGGTATGGGCATCCTCCAGAAAAGAAAGGAGCTGTACTGGCTACTCACAGGGTCCCTCATAGTGTCCTGGAAAGAAACCACTTGTCATTCTTCATGCTAAAGCAATCTCTTTTTGGCTCCTGGCTCAAGCTTAGAAACCCCATATCTCAGCTGGGCGTGGTGGCCAACACCTGTAATTCCAGAGGCTTGGAAGGCTAAGGCAGGAGAATCATGAATTCAAAGCAACTTAACAGACTTGTCTCAAAATATAAAAAGGGCTGGGGTGTGGCTCAGTGGTTAAGTGCCTCTGGGTTCAATCTCTATTACCCTCTATTACTCCCTGCCCCCCAAAAAAGGGGGTGGGCCATGGTGGCACATGCCTATAATTCCAGCAACTCAGAAGGACTGCAAGTTCAAAGCCAGCCTCAGCAATGGTGAGGGACTAAACAACTCAGTGAGACCCTGTCTGTAAAGGACAAAAAAGGGCTGGGGATGTGGCCCAGTGGTTGAGTGACCCTAAGTACAATCCCTGGTACCTCCCCCCCCCCCAAAAAAAAAAACTGGGGGTAGGGGGTGTAGCTCAGTGGCAGAGCATACCTGAGTTCAATCTCCCCTCCCCTCACCAAAAAAGAAACTCCATATCCTTGTTTGCCTCTGTAAATAATCCAAGTTCCCTAGGATACGCTTCTGGAATCCTCCCTTTATTATAATTTTCTGCCATTTCCTAACTTCTCACCTTCAAATGGTTTACCTACTGCATCAAGTGAATCTTGGATCTGATTTTTGAGACCTTCCAAAATTTGGCCCCACTCTTCCTAGCAGTATAGCCTCTGGTAGTTTTGTTTATTCCTGTCTTGCTTAATTCCTTCAACTTTCTATTATATCAATTTTTGGTACTGGGGATTGAACCCTGGGCATCTAACCACTGAGCCTCATCGCCATCCCTTAAAAAAATATATATTTTATTTAGAGACAGGGACTTGCTGAGTTGCTTAGGGCCTTGCTAAATTGCTGAGACTGGCTTTGAACTCACAATCATCCTGCCTTAGCCTCCCAAGATATTGGGATTACAGATGTGTGCCACCATGCCCAGCTAAAGTGTTTCTTAGGTTTCAAGACTCCATTCAAGGGGGTAATCATGAACTGAAATTTATTTCCATGCATATATGAGTTTGTCGGGAGGATGAACTCAACTACTATGTATAACCGTAAATCTCAAAAAACTCCATTCAAGTCCCTAGAGGACTTTCTCCTCCCCCAATTACTATATATTTACAAATACTTTGTAAATTCTGACTTTTTAAATTTAAAGGTCATTTTACTTCTGAAAAGCCTATTACATTCTGCTTTCTTTTTCCTCCTAAACCGTACTATAAGATCATTTCTTTCAAGATGACTTCCTTACACTTACCCTATTTCCTCCAGCAACTCCCTGACACTCTAGAGGTTTACCTGACTCCCATCATTTTGGGGTTACAGATCATTTATGTTTTATGTACAGGAAGAAGGTATTATTTCCTCCAACAGACTGGAAGCTTCCCTAAGGGAAGCTACCCAGTCTGCTTTCTGGGTACCACAGATGCTAGGCTTTATAACAAAGATATTTAAGGCTGCTGATATAATTATCATATTAATTTAATATGATGAATACTTTACTATTATCTATTAGTCTACCAATAAGTTAATCTGTTTCTCTCTAGCCTACCTCTCTTTAGAACAATATCCAGATGCTAGAATATACTTGAATATAATGAGAACAAATGGGTTGGCAATTCAAGGTAAGGAAGTAAAGTTTAGATTGGAAGCATAAGGTCTTTGCCATACTTTAATGTGAGTAAGTTCTTTCACCTTTTCTGTTCATCAGCCCCACCTGAAGTTAATGACTATTGTAGCTCCCTGGAGCCTCCACCCTGCTTCTTACTAGCCAAGAAAAGTGGCAAGAAGCTTTACTTGAATTGTTCCCAAAGGAACAGAAAGAACATTCCACAGCTTTCAAAAATATAACTCTGAAGTTTCAAAAGATTTTTCTCCAGCACACCTCATTGGTTTTCATCAGGCCTATGACTCTTAGTGTCCTCAAGTAGTTTCCAGAATTCTTCCACTAATGTGAAATATCTCTACTAAAGCGGAAAAAGAAAGCCTTAATCTAGAACATGGTGATATGAGCATGTGGGGCAACATGAACATTACTCAGCAGAGAAGCTGCTTATAAGGAGGGTGACGCAGGGACTGTAGCACGGCGGGGGAGTGTGTTGGAAAGGTGAGATCATCATTCTATGATATGCAGCTCTGATCATCTCCACAGTAATTTGCAGAGCCATG